TCAGAAAACACCAGAAGTGGTACTACGGGCTCAAGTAGTAAAGCAAAACCTGGAGCATAAAGAGGCTCAGGGATAGCACCCAGGCCCTGAGTTTAAGCCCAAGACTAGCAAAAAAAAAAAAGATAAAGATAAAAGTAAAAAAGAAAAGCTGAGTGAAGTGAAGGAAGGGGTAACATTGTCCAAAAAAAGAAATGTGTTCGTTACCTAACATAAAATGGCAACTCCTCTGTACAATACCTTAATAATAACAGTAAAATTATAATTAAAAAAGAAAGAAAAAAGCTGAGTGATAGGCCTGGTATCAAAACAAAAACAGAGAAAGGCAGAGAGCATTAGACTAGTTAGTATTCTTGACTCATCCTTCTATTTGGCCATTCCATACTAACATGTAGGCTACCCGCTCTGGCTGGAAGATCTTCAATAACCTATAGCTGGAACATCGCTGGATAACTGCCACTCCTCTTCAAATGTCTCCTGATCTGGAAACCTTCGTCCTCAGGCCCTTCATCTTCACAGACCATCTCTTACCATCTACCATACTCCAAGGCCCATGCTAATGCTAGATATTTGTATCAGGTTTGTTATTTACACGTCCATGAGGCGAGAGCTCATCCAACTTACTGTCTCTGGAACCTAATACAGGGCTTGCCATAGAAAAGTACTAATGAATGTTCATGAGACATGCATATATCATATTGATACTAACAAAATATTTGTGTTATATGCCACATGTGGATTTTTGTTTTTTTTCCTTTTCCTTTCCTTTCCCCTCACTATCCCATTCTACAGATAGGAGAAATTATCAAAGTTTTTCAGTATGAGTCTTAGTTCTTATTAGTCCTGGTCCTAGATTCCTTTGGTAGAGATAACTATTCTGAGGAGCTGGCTGGTCCAACTAATATGGAAATGAAACACCTCTGGAATACTCTTTTAAACACAGCAAGTGTTCAACACCTATTGTTTAAAGCTCAGATATAAGGCCTTCTATAGCTAAGAAGTATGATAAAAGCACCACTTCTCATGTCCTTTGAAAGCATTGATTCAATTTTCCCAATGAGCTCATTCTGTAAACTTAAACCAAGTCTTTCCTTAATACCACATGCCCAGTTATTAGAAATGATTTAGCATCTCATAATAGCATATTCCTGAGAAAGCTAGAAAGTACCCTTCCCAACAACCAGCCTAGAGATATCCCCATTCCTCTAACTCAAAATGGATCTTACTTCCCTTAGATAACCACGTTCTTCCTGAACTAGTCAGTGAACCTGTCCAACAAGGCAGATATTGCTGATGGAGAGCCTGCAGGCCAACATTCCCCAGTCTTACCTGGCAACTGTTTCTTGAGGCTCTTGCAACTTCTCACTATCAGGCACAGACGTGTGTGTGTGTGTGTGTGTGTGTGTGTGTGTGTGTGTGTGTGTACATATATATTAGGGAAAAAGAAATAATCAACAGAATATGGTGGTGATCAGGTCTGTGTCTGAAGATTGGCACATTGCCTAGGGCATCTGGTGCACAGCTTTGGCTAGGACTAGTAGAATTTTGTGTCTGGAGACTCAGAGAAGAAAGACTAGGAAGGAGCATGTTTGCCCAAAATACCTGTAATTACCCTTTAAGGAGCTGATAAGGCCTCTGCAAAGAACATCTGGCTCAGCCCAAACACAATGGAAGAAGGTGATTACTTCAAGATTGTTACAACCAAACTTGCTTTCACTCCCCTTTAACTATATTGTTGCTGGTAGATAAAAGCTACTATTTATTGAACTTTTGAAAAGTGTTCAATGTTTACTGTCTTAGTAAATCCTTTACTGTCTTAGTAAATCCTCAAAGCAACTCTACCGCATAGTGGTTTTCAGACTTTATACCCACCATCTACCAGGGATACCCAAGAACACGCATTTCTAGCAAGCTCTCAGATGAAGATGCTCCTGATTCAGGGTCCACATCTGAAGAACACTGCTACAACAAAAAAGAAATTCAAAAATGTTCCATAGCTTTTTTTTTAACAACAACAACAAAAAAGCAGACCCCAGGGCTGGGAAGGTGGCTCAGTGGTAGAGCGCTTGCCTTGCATGCTCGAGGCCCTGGGTTCAATTCCTCAGCACCACATAAGCAAAAAGAAAAAAGCCGGAAGTGGCGCTGTGGCTCAAGTGGTAGAGCGCTAGCCTTGAGCTGAAGAGCTGAGGGACAGCGCCCAGGCCCAGAGTTCAGGCCCCACGACCGGACCCAAAAAAAAAAAAAAAAGCAGACCCCAAATTTGAGCTTAGATCAGTCTGATTCCACAGTCAATATTCATAACCACACTATATGTAAATGTGTGTTTTGTCTTTCTAAATTTCCTGGAGGCTCCACCAAGACTAGGGATGTAGCTCAGTAGTGGGAACTTGCCTACTATGTTCAAGGTCTATGGCTTCATTTCCAGCACTGTGAAAAAGTAAATAAAGGTAAACATCAGTCTTTTTTTTTTTTTTTTGTCAGTCGTTGGGCTTGAACTCTGGGCCTGCGTTCTGTCCTTCAGCTCTTCAGCTCAAGGCTAGTGCTCTACCACTTGAGTCACAGTGCCACTTCCGGTTTTCTGGTGGTTTACAGGAGATAAGAGTTTCACGGACTTTCCTGCCCAGGCTGGCTTTGAACCATATCCTTGGATCTCAGCCTCCTGAGTAGCTAGGATTACAGGCGTGAGCCACTGGCACCTGGCACATCAGTCTTTCCTTAGATCTGTTTCATCACTTCTAGAATTTAATAGTCTTTGGATTTCGTAAGTATTATATATTTTGTACACTAACTCCTGCACATGTACATACTTTTCAGGCCACAAATTCAAACTCCATTATACTCAAGGAACATAAAGAAATCAGCATTACCAAACCAAATTTTACACAACACTTTCTCTTGCTACTATGATCTTTGCCCAAGCTATACCACACTAGCTAACTCCTACTCATTCTTCAGTTACTTCCTCTCCTAAAACCAGGCCTATCCTCCAAAATAAAATAATATAAAGTGGCAGTTGGCATATTCTGAGCTTATCTCCATGATGGCACTAGTTATTCTGTTATAACTGCCCATTTTCCATCCCTTAAAACAGTTCATAAATTCTAGCACCTTGTTTAACATCACATCCCCAGAGCATACTACAGTGCCTGCCATAAATGACTAAATACAGAGGTGAAAGCCCCATGTTCCACTTTAGCATGTCATAATGCACAGTTCTCAGGAATGAAGTTCAGGGAAGAGGAGGGCAGCCATAGATAACAAAGAACAATTTTGCCTTTTCATTTGGCCATCCTTCTCCAAGATCAAGTCTTCGTGAACAGGCATCGCTTAGGGCAAAGCATCCATGATGAAACACCATCCTAGCTGAACAAAATGCTCCAGGGTTATGAGGTCAGGAGAGGCCAGTCAAAGGAAGAGGAAGGACTCTGCACCCCCTCATTCTTCTGATCTCTCTTTCTCACATCCTTCTCCATTTCTCCACCCCACTGCAGTCCGGGTTTTGGCACAGGGATGAAGGAGACAGATCAGACTCAAGGGTACAGATCTGGCAGCAGGCACAGAAGCATCTCCCATCCTGCACCAAAGCCCACAAGGAAGAATCCTGAGGGACAGTGACTCAGGACCCAGGATTAAGTCCAGCTAGAACATTACTACAAATGAAAACAGAACAATATTAACTGTCAGAGACCCTTTTTAAAATACGATTTTTCAAGTACAAGCTTCAAAATCGCATCCCCAGAAACTGGGACCGTAAATCCAATGTTGACAAAAGCTGAGAGCCAAACACAGCTTCTCCCTCTTCCCAACCCACCCACCAGCCTGCAACACTCAGGATGACAGGCATTTCCTAGGCCCAGGTAGGGATCCTTGCTTCAACCTTAGTTTACAAAAAGCTCCTTTTCAGAGGGGCCTCTTAGCGTTCTTTCTTTCTTCCCTCACTAATAAACTGTTCCATACCACCATGTTGCAGTAATAGAGGCCTCCCCTTTCCAATGTCTTGCAGTCCAAAACACAACCTACAGGAGGTTGGCCCCATCCAATTAGTTTGAATTGCTTCACACCAAGGAAATTACTGCTTTTATTAAAAATAAAAGCACACTAAGCAGGCAATGAGCTGTGAAAAGTATGAGTCTAGCATGATTATGAAGGTCGAGGTTAAGGTTACCAAGAGACAGGAAAAGATTTCCCAAAAGCCTGGGGGATAAAGATAAATATCTACATTAGTTCAGATATACAAATGAACACACACAGAAGGAGGGAATTTACACAACAGATGTAAATAACATCCGGTCCAATACAGGGAAAAAAAACAAAATGAGAGCTACTCTCAAGTAGTTCTTAATAAAAATTTTAAAATGAGAGAAAGAGGGGCCTAGAGATTGAGTTCAAAACAATCACGTTCACTTCATATAATTTCTGTTATCTTAGCTACATCCTGGGAGCCTGATAACAGTTGATCTGAAAACAAACCTAGTCAAATCCACCTAGAGCCTTGCTCAGATAAACACATTCCCATTCCCAGAAAATCGGACCTTCCTCTCAACACCTCCTATGGAAATGGAAAAGTTAGTAGGAAAAAAACCCTCTTCCTCCTTAAGGATTCCCCCAATTCCCACCCTACATTCTTCACATCAATATTTCAAGTTTTGGGAGGATGACAAGCCCACCACCCTGCATCTGATGGTGAGCTTTACACTTTCCCATCTACGTTTTTCTCCTCTGATCTGCCTAATTCCAGGAGGAAAAGAAGGTGGCTTCTTAACCTTTTATTTCCCTCCCTAAAAGGCCACTGCAGTAAACAACTTCCCCCTACCCCTTTAAGCCCTGTCACTTTCCAATCTCAGTTTTAAATCTCTCAAGGACAATGACTCACGAGGAAAGTGCGGGGGGGGGGGGGGGGGGGTCAGTTGGTGAAAAACCCATTCATACATTCAACAACTAGAAACCAGAGTCTTGCCACATCAGCACAAGATTTTAATTTACAGCGCAGAGTTCCACCGTACCTTCTGCCAACACCTCGTCCACTGTGACCTGCTGTCGCCCGATGCCAAAGACCCTTCCGATATAGCCACTGCCCAGGCCTGAGGTGCTGCCCCCTCCTCCGCTGGAGCCCGAGCCCAGGCCAGAGCCACCCTGTTCTCGTCGGGAGTCGAAAAACTTCTTCATCTTGCAAATAGGAAGCAGCAAAGCAAAATGCCGATGGTTTCTAGATTTTTTTTTTTTTAAAGAAAAGAGATCTAAGGATTTCTTCTCGGATTTCAGCTCCGCGAGGAGCCACCCGAATCCGGTCGTGGGGGTGGGGGCTGAGGGAGGATGCCTATAGGAATATGCGTGTCAATCGCGCGGCGGGTCCCCTCCTCCTCCAGAGAGCGATTCGTGTAAGTTTAAACCTGCGATGACAGAGGAAGAGAGAGGATGAATCAGTAACACACTTAAAAATTCAACTGCCGAGTCCTAGAGGGAGCAAAAGCCATCATCCCAGGGAAACGCTCCATGCATTTTCCTGCTGAAAAGAATCCCGAGGCTGAAAATGCATCCCCGGCCCCACAACTCCGGATCCCCGTGCCCAGCCGGAGCTCGGAAAAAGGAGGGCCGGCCTGGACAGCGCCGATCCTGCTGGTCCCCCCTACGACCCGGTCCCCCCGCCACCCCGCCAGGGAGCATCCCCGAGGCACCCACTTGAGACGGCTCGGCGGCCGGAGCCCAGCTACCAGCCCCGCAACATTGTCACGGCCGCCGGGCCGACCTGCGACGCGGAGAGGAGGCGGCGCTGCAGTCTGAGCCGGGGCTCGTTCGGCGCCCGCCCGCCCGCTCGCTCGCTAACTAGCCCGCCCGCCAGCTGATCCCCCGTGCGCCCGGCGGAGACTGACCCGCCGCCCCTCCCCCGCGCGCGCTCCCGCCGGGCTCCATCCACCCAACCAGGAAGTGAACCGCCGCCGGAAGTGCCTCTTGGGGCGGCGCGGCCCGGAGCCCTGGCAGCTCCTGGGGCTGATTCCCTTTCTCGACAAATGGAAAAGAAGTCGATGACGAGAAGACCGGGGAAACGGGATGGGGAGGATCTTTAGTGCAGAGAGAGTCTTAGAAAAGAGCGTTTCTATCGCCTTTCGCAGGGCACCCTGGGAAAGGTAGTTCGGCGCAGTCTGGCAGGAGGACTACAACTCCCAAGATGGCCCTGGAGAAGCGGGCGCGGCGTCGGCCCTGGCCTCCGCAGCCTCCGAGATGGTTAGTGGGTTGGTGCATATGTGGAGAGTCAGTTATTTAAACACATCCGGTAAAGAAGCTGCCAGAGACCTGCTCCCCCCACCCAACCCCCTACTCGTTGCATGTTTTTTCCCTTCTGGGGCCATCTTATTTGCGGCCTGGCGGCCTGGCACAAGGAACTCTGGGAGTTGTAGTTTCTAATCAGAACGAGGCTGACACCTGAAGGACGCGGCTTAACCGCTTAGCCCCTAGCTGATCCTGCCAGGCGTCCCAACGTCCCCCGGGCCGGAGATGGAGGGTGAGAGGTTGATGGGGAAGTGGTGCTGGAAGTTGCATCGGGCCACGCGGGAATGTCAGCTCTGACAAAAAGAGAGCGGGAGCCTTTCCGCCCCCGACCTCGATCGCAGCTTCTGCTGGCGAAGATGAGAGCCGGCTCCCGGGGCAGCTGTGGGCCCTGCGCTTCGAGAACGCCTCTGAGACAGTGAGTGTCTCGTCCGGAAATCCACGGGCGAGATTCGAAACGGCAAACCGCCGAAGGTTGTGCGCAGGGCGGATCCTAGGGAACCTGCAGACTCAGCCCATTGGCTCCACCCCAAACTTTGGGGCTTGTCACCCGACAGTGACGCTCAATTCTTCCACCTTTGCAGACTCTCTGGGTGGGCCTGGTTCCCCGACATCACCCCACACACACACACACACACACACACACTCACATATACGCTCTCCGGGTCCTCCCACCCGGGAACTCCAAACGGACCTTGTATTTGTTGTACCTGGAGAATTTTCCAGTAAAATACTTCCCCCTCCCGCCCCCATACCTCCTGAGTGCCGACGGTGGGGAGCGGACTATGGTTTGCATCTGTCAGATGGGGAAGACATGGAGGGCAGTTTGTATTCTTCTCAGTTCCCAGATTTCCCGACGATGATGCGGAAGATGGTACCAAATCCCTCCTCGCCTCCACACACACACACCCCCGCCCCCAAGAAATCCACGATTTTTTCTAATCTCAGAATATAGGTTAGTTCTCACCTCCACCCGCTCTCCCCACTTCAATGGTGCGACAGCCCTCTTGGATTGCAATTAGTCCCAGATTTCTTCGGCAGGGTGCACACGGGGCGGGGAGGGGTGGGGATAGATCTTGCTTTCTTTCATCTAAATATTGAGCTGCTGGGCTAGAGGTGGCTGTGGCTGCTGAGGCTTCTTGTTTAAAGTGGTGCCATTGTAATTAAACTCCCTGTATCGAGATACCATCTTTTCTTCCGGAGAGAGTCAAAGTTGCCACCTCGGTTCACAAATTCATGCAGCCACCTCCAGGGTGAAATGCTGCACCTGCTAAAACATTCCCTCAGAGCAAGCCCACGGAGGCATGTTCTCTGCACCTTCCTTAAAAGGCTAGGTTTTTGTCCAAAGAAGCTTGGAATAGATCTTAAAATAGATGAGAAAGATCATTTAGAATTGGGTTCATTGACCCCCCCCCCTCTTTCTCAGCATTTTGTTTTTAAAGAAGCTCTGTCAGGTCCTAAGTCTGTTAGGCCTGTTGCAACACTTTGTCAGGTTTTTCTCAACTGTCTTGATACCAGAACAAGACTAGGTTTATCACAAACTTCATCTCACCTTCCAACAGGATTAATGTAGCTAACTTATGTATTGAACACAAACCTGTATGCTTTGATCAGAATCTGAGGAAAGAGGTTTAAGAACCAAAAACTAGCAGCTGGGTGCTGGTGGCTCACGCCTGTAATCCTAGCTACTCAGGAGGCTGAGAATCATGGTTCAAAGCTAGCCCCTGCAGGAAAGTCTGTGAGACTCTTATCTCCAATTAATCACCAGAACACCAGAAGTGGTGCTGTGGCTCAAGTGGTACAGCACTTGCCTTGAGCTGAAGAGCTCAGGGACAGCGCCCAGACCCAAAGTTCAAGCCCCAAGACCGACAAAAAAAAAAAGAAAGAAAGAAAGAAAAACTAGAAATAGATTCTTTGCCTTCCTTTCTCTCAGAAACTAATAGCAACTATGACAAATCCATTTTTGGTTTGATTTGGTTTGGGGGTGTGTGTGTGTATGTGTGTGTGTGTGTGTGTGTCTGTGCATGCTCGCGCACGCATGCGTGCACTCTGTGTGGGTGCCAGGCCTTGAGCTCAGGGCATTATACTATTGTTTGACGTTTTCACTCATGATTAGTGCTCTACCACTTGACCCACACCTCTGGTCCTGTTTTTTGTTTCTTTTTGTATTTTGTTGTTGTTGTTGTTGTTTTGCTGATAAATCCAAGTTGGAGCCTCACAGACATTTCTGCCCAAGCTGACTTCAAACCATGATCCTCATTTCTGAATAGCTAGAATTACAAACATGAGTCACCAGGCCCAGCTTAATTTTGTTCGTTGTTGCTGTCATCATTTGCTTTACCTACATTAGGTCATTTCATTCTCACAACAATACTATGAAATAAGGTACTATTATTACACTTATTTTAAAGTGGTTATTGAAGTTGAGGCCTAAGTGACTTGCCCAAAGTCACAATGACAGCAACTGGCAAAATAAGGATTTAAACCCAAATATTTTGGCTCCTCTGAGCTCAGTGCTACACTGAACTTTCTTAGAAAGTACAAATGAAAGCTGAGCAGGGCTGGGAAGGTGGCTCAATGGTAGTGCTTGCCTTGCATGCATGAGGCCCTGGGTTCAATTCCTCAGCACCACATAAACAGAAAAGGCCGGAAGGGGTGCTGTGGCTTAAGTGGTAGAGCACTAACCTTGAGCTGAAGAGCTGAGGGACAGTGCCCAGGCCCAGAGTTCAGGCCCCAACACCAACAAAAAAAAAAAAAAAGAAAGAAAGAAAGAAAGCCGAGCACTGGTGATTCATGCCTGTAATCCCAATTACTTGAGAGGCTAAGATATGAAAATCATAGTTGGAAGCCAGCCCCGGCAGAAAAGGCCATGAGACTCTCATCTCCAGCAAACTACTCAGAAAAAGCTGGAAATGGAACTATGGCTTAAGTGATAGAGCACTAGCCTTGAGCAAAAGAAGCTCAGGGACAGTGCCCAGGCTCTGAGTTCAATCCCCATGAACAACAAAAAACAAAATATTATGTAATGGCTTCTTAGTAATCAACCCTTAACGCCCAGTATATATAATTTCAATTTAAATCAGTAGCCTTTATGCTGCTTTAATTTTGACTATGGTTTGTTTGTTTTGTTTGTATGTGTGTGTGTGCTGGTGGTGGGGTCTGGACTCTGGGCCTAAGCGCTGTCCCTCAGCTCTTCAGCTCAAGGCTAGCTCTCTACCACTTGAGCCACAGCGCCACTTCTGGCTTTTTCTGCTTACGTGGTGTTGAGAAATCGAACCCAGGGCCTCATGCATGCAAGGCAAGCACTCTACCACTGAGCTAAGACTATGTTTTTATGATTGGAGGAACTAGGTCAAAAAGTATGGTTGTTTTTGCATCTAGAAAGATAAAGTGCCCCTCCCCCAGGAAAGAGATGCTGATTTGCTCTTCACTCTGATTTAGCAGCTTTCATGACTTAGATACTAAAATGAATATTATAATTAACAAAATAAATATACTTTCTATCTTCAAGGTGGTTTTGGCCTTTAAAGAAAGCACCTTGTCTGTACCCTGACCCAACACTGATTTTTTTTTTTTCCTGCTAGGTCGAGGGGCTTGAACTCTGGGCTTGGGCGCTGTCCCTGCACTCTTCAGCTCAAGGCAAGCTCTCTACTACTTGAGCCACGGTGCCACTTCCAGTTTTCTAGTGATTAATTGGACATAAGAGTCTCAAGGACTTTCCTGCCTGAGCTGACTTTGAACATGATCCTCAGATCTCAGCCTCCTGAGTAGTTAGGATTACAGGCATGAGCCACCGGTGCCCAGCTCCAACACTGAATATTTACAGTTTGAAAAGAAATGCATTGTCAAAGCTCATGGAATTCACTTGATAGGCCATGATAATGACAATTTGCCTTGTGAAGGTTAAAATTTGTGACTTTAACTAACTATTCCACAATACTGTGAAATATGTGAAATTTATGTAATCACCTAAACTCAATTAAAAAAGAAAAAGAAAAGTGAGAGAAGGGATGAGTTAGGAGCAATGGGTGACAGTGTTATCAGATACTTTGTATTCATATACTGTTTTGTAGAATGGGAACTTCTTTGTACAACTACTTAAAGATAATTTTTTAATGCATCTCATTTTTGTTAGGTTGGATATGGTGCTTGTCATTATTTAAGTTAGTTTGAACACTTGTGTTCATTTATCTATTCATGAGTTGTTTTATAAAGCACCTTTTTGAAGTCAAAACTATCCCCTGAGTCCAGGGCTTCTGCCATTTAGCTATACACCTACAAGTCCCTCTCAACTTTCTAAGAGAGCTTCAAAATTTTATTCTGTAGGTTGAGATAGCCTGCCTAGTAATTGCAAAGACCTGAGTTCAAGCCCAAGTACTACCCAAAAATTTCACACAAAAACTCAGCAGGGCACTGGTGGCTCATACCTATAATCCTAGCTACTCAGAGACTGAGATCTGAGGATCCCAGTTCAAACCCAGCCCAGGCAGGACCATCCGTGAGACTCTTATTTCCAGTTAACCACCAGAAAACCAGAAGTGGCACTGTGGCTCAAGTGGTAGAGTGCTAGCCTTGAGCTGAAAAGCTGAGGGACAGTGCC